GGAAAAACTTTTTTAGAAGATACATAACTTTTCAAGTTTTCTTTTATAAATCATAAAGAAGTTAAAAAAGCCACACATCCAATATTTTCTCTTAGCAGCTCACCCTTAAAGTGATTCACTTTAGTTATCTATAGTCTACATAGAAAGCAGTGCTTTTTTTCTTAACCAAAAAGGATAGGGCCAAAGGATTAGCTGAAGTCTCAATGATGCCTCCCTGAAGGATTTCATTAGTAGCTGACAAAATCTCTTCCTTTAACACTGGTAATCCTTGAGGGACATGTTTAATAGGCAGACATTCTTCAGTGTCAGTTTTGTAGCTGTAAATTTTTATGATAGGAAAAGATAGGATAGCCAAGTTAGCAAAGCAATAAAGTAATAAAGATCTGTGTGAAAAAGACATTTCCCTCCAAATATGGTACAAAGCTAGAATTTTAAAATTTGAACAGTAGTTAAAACTCACCCTCAGACTGTCCCTGAATAGTACTATTACCACGTAGTACAGCATCAGAGTGAAGTTGGTAGATAAGTTGATATACACAGGTATGTTGTATTGACTAGTGGTTTTATTTATAAATCTATGCAATTAGTGGTTTGATCAGGAAGGACAGAAGAACAAATGCCAGCGTTCTGGCTCAAGCAAATGCCACCAGCATTGAAGCCATGTTTATGTGGCACCAGCTCCATTGGACAGGACATGTGATATGGATGCCTTACAAATGGTTCCCAGAACAGGCCCTATACTCCCAATTCACCAATGGTTACTGCTCTAGAGGTAGGCAAAATAATAGTTTCAAGGATATCTTGAAGGCCAGTCTGAAGAAATGCAATATTGACATCAGTACCTGGGAGAGACAAACATGGAATCGTTCCCAGTGGCATTGTGACATAAAACAAAGCTCTGATCATTTTGAGCAAACCAGCCATATTATGGAGGCAGATAAACTAGAGGGACAAAGGGACCCAACATTACCAGGATCTACTCATTCGTCCTGTAACTATTTGCCATATTTGTAGTTGAACATATGGATCTTGGATCAGCCTCTTCCATCATCTATGGATTCACTGATGACTTCCCAGTTTACTGGAAGACTGCCATCCTTGCATTGTATCAAGGGATTGCTGCCACCACTGCCACAAACAAAGGTTATAATTTTGGGTCAAAGCTCATAATTTGAAGGTTTTAAATAATGGGTGACTGGTGCCTCCTGAGTCAGGGTGCGGGGGCACTTGCCCGACCCAGTGGATAGTCAGCGACTGGGGGGGAATCCCCCTGCAGCTGATCCCACAGGCCAGGGGAGGGTCCCTGCAGTCGATCCCACAGACCCACACATGGTGGCGGCATGCTGCTGGCACTTCTGGGCGTGATGCTGGCACTTCCGAGTCAGCGGGATCAGCCACTGGGGGACTGCTTCTCCTGGCACACTCCCTGACTGGCACTCTCAGAGGGGGCACCGGCGCTCTTGCCTGCCCCCCCTGCCCGGGAATGCCGCTATCAGAGGGTGCACCAGCTCTCTCATGGGGTGCACGTGCACCCCTGTGCACCCCTTATGCATCGCCACTGCTTTAGATTGATTCTCCTAAATGAAAATAAATGTGCTTCCATAGAAGAGTCTTCCTTTTACTGTTTTATGTTTACTTTATTTTCTTAGACCGTTCTATGGACTTCCTTTGATTCTTCTTTTTGACAACATTGAAGGCTAACAACTTCTTATAGTTGTATATTTAAAACACTGAGTTAGATTTCTTTATTTGAATCCTGCATTATGTTTAGAAGTGCTTGGCAGTGTTGCTGAAAAAAAGAACAAATAGCAAGGATCTGTAAGAGTAAACTGGAATGGCCAGTTTTGCCACCAGCTGAGAGAGCTTTCAATGGAAGGCCAAGAGGAAATGCGAGGAGTATATAGAAGTCTGATGATGAAAGAGAGGCCTGAGGTCACCTAATTGTTCCTGCAGTTGCAGTCTCTCTCTCTCTCTCTCTCTCATTGTCTCTCTCCTTTTATTTGCATTTTTAAAAATCTGTTTCTGTTCTAGGATCAGTTGTTTCAATTAGTTTAACAGTAGATATTTTTATTCCCATTGATTTGTAAAGGACTCCCCATTACTGAAAAAAATCATCAAGACTCTGACATCAAAATTTGTTCCATAAGCTATATTTCAAAACACATCCCCACTGTTTTACTTCTCATAAAGGGCCAAATCTTAAGGTCTCCTCCTCCTTTACATATTCTGCCCTCATGCTGCCCTTGTGCACATGATGTGCACATGGTGGGGAGACTGTACTCACCAAAGAGACGAATTCTATTTTTATGGCCTAGAAAAAAAAACAGTTTATGGCCATGTCCACATGAGCATGGGTGTTTGTTTCCCCAGGGACAAATAGCAGCAACACACCTTGTGCCACTGCTACTTGTCCCTGGGGAATGCTCATGCCATGTACCCTCTGGCGCATGGGAGGCTATCCTGGGTGAGGCAGCAGCAGTCATCCTGTCACTTGGAGCCTGGCCAGCAGCTGGAGCATGGCTCTGGCCTGCCAGGCTTCTGGTTTGGGTGGCACATACTGCCCCCATGTGTGCTGCTCTGCTTTTTTTGTGCTGTTTTTTTTTGACCCCTGGAGATCCCAGGGTCAACCTGCCCCCCCCCCCCCCTCCTCTTTCCCCCCCCCCCCCCCCCCCCCGCTGCTACTTTGCATATGTTGAATGTGTGGTATTTGGTATGTGGTACCACATACCGCATGGCTGTGCTCATCTGGATGTAGCCTATAAGTACTTTCAAGGGGCTTGATTCTCCATAATTGAAGGGCTGGGGAGCTAGCTGATCTACTTAGGATTTTTCCATCACGTGAAACCTTCATAACCTATGGATGTTATTTTCACACCCTCACACTGTGAAAACCCCTTTTTGGGGAATTCAAGGAACAACTTCAGAAGGGAAGATTTCCAGCAAGCATGAGGGAGCTGTCTTGAGCAGAACTGATTTTGGCAATGGAGAAGATGCAAGAAACCCACACAGTGGTCATCTTGTATTCTGCTGATCTTGGAGAATTGAAGAACAATGAACTGTAAGGGAAACCAATGGCTCTTGTTCTCAGCCTTCTTCCTTTATGGAAAACATAAGGAGAAATTCCATACGTTAAGTGAGAGAACTCATTTTCATGTGTATTATTTTGCTATAGGAGAAAAAGAAGCCCTCAATGTTAATTCTGTTCTTGGTCAGGCAGCCTCTCGTTCATTCTAGTGAGAATTTGTCCGAGTAAGAACCACAAAATGTGGTCTATAGTTATTAGACATAATTAAATCCCAAATCTAATATGGGTTCATCCATTATGTTTAGTTTTCAAACCACCTGCTCAAAATGTTAAAGTAATTTCCTACAGTTTCTGACTAGTGCAAGGTTCCATGTCACAGTTTCCTTTGGAGACCAATTAGTCCACCTTGCTTTTGATCTTAACTCTAGCCTTCAATATTTTAAGAGGAGGTCTAGCCTAATGACTATTTCTGATTTTTTTTTTGAGCTAGTGTTGAAATGACCAGCGATTTTCATATTATATATGATCTCATATAATCTGACTACAGAATATATATCACACATACAATATTCTGTAGTCAGATGATATATAATAGTTACAGTTAAAACAGCTGTAAAGAGAATCTAATTTACGTGAAGATTGTGAAGCTACTCCAGATGAATGCAAACTTCGTCTGTCCATTTCTGAGAATAGATGGGTAGTGACCGCTTTATCCTAATGACCACAGCTGGGTACAGAAAAAGTATATTACTAAATAGTGTTGGAAATAAAACCCACAGATTACTTATCTAGAATTGGCTGCCTCTTGTATTGGTTTACTGTAAGTGAGCTTTAAGCCAGTAAGCAAAAGAATAATGGTAGCTGTTACAAATAACTATGCCTGACAGTGTTTGAATCAGAAGTGTTCCTGCAGCCATTTTGTAAAGCTCTTTTTTATTTTTCTCACAGAAATTTAATTTAATAATGATTGTGGATAATTTTAAAACAGGAAAGGGAGTCTTTTTTTTAAAATAAAACCTAAGTATTTCAACCAGGGAGCATAAATTTCCAGAGATGGCCAGTCATATGGTAAAAAAGGGTCTTGTGAGCAGCTTACAAACAATTGGCAAGGGAAAAATTGTTCTCAAAATGATTCCAGCAATTACTAATAGTGAAAATTCATTGAAAAATCACATTCTTTTTGTGAATAAATTTATTTGTCAAAAAGGACTAAATTCGCTGTGTATTAATTATTGACAACCAATGAGTCAAAGTCCTGTACTTGTAATGTTCTCTTCTGATGACAGAATTTTCTTTAATAGAAGTAATCTGATTTTAAAGGGGGTTGAGCTCCCACAGCTGCCTATGATGTCAATGTGAATTGACACTGACTTGCAGTTGGACTCTCCATGCTAAATTCTCCTTCTAGTGGTAAAACCAAAGTAATTCCTGTGTTGTCTTCCAAAAAATAAAATAAATATAACCACAAAATTCCATTCAAACACAAGCCATCCACACATCCTGGCAATGACTTCAGCAGTGTTACAATAATGTAGTTAGCAATAGAAATGGGCCTGCAGTGTTCTACCTCTTGTTATCCAGTCTGTTGTGTACCTTTCTTGCATTTTGTGTTTTTTGTATTTTTAACAAGGAATACAAAATTCCTTGCCTGCTATAGATAGTACATTATAACGTATTAATAACTTAACATTATTTACTTTCCTTCAGAAAAATATACCCTTAAACTCAGAATCCCATCATTTTTTTTTTTACCATTGTATTCCCTCTATCTGAGGAAAGCTGGCATGTTTTAAGCTTAACCATCATTGTAACAAGAAAAGAGAGATATCAGACTAGTAAAAGAAAAGGTTAAAACAATATATGCCATACACAGATAATAGAAGTGATCTGTGCTTTCTCACTGTACGAACCTTGAAGGTACATATGGGACTCAATATAGAAAATTTTCAAATCCAAAAATACCAAGCTATACTACCTGACTCAGTTGCTCCTTTGATGTCTAGGCCATCTTCCATGCCAACCTTTAATTTCTTTTCTGAAATGTCAGTATCAACTTTTAATTCCTCTTGAGAAGCTTGTTGGCAAAGTTTTGGTTTTGCCAGGATGATAGCTACAGCCTCCATCTCTATTTGAGTAGGAGTTACCACCATCACCACCTCAGAATTTTCTTCCTTGACAATATTTCAGGGAAGTAAGCCAGTTGCCTTGGTGCCAATTGTCCTGTGCTGAAAGGCACCATGGGGTTGTCTCCTGGCTGGCAGCTATGGGAAGTCCAGCTTTGATGGCTCTGCACTGGATAGTGCAATGGACCAACTATACTTAGGAATGGAAAAGTCTGACTTCAACTGACTTTTCCATTCCTAAGAAGGCATATGAAGATTACAAAGCCTTTTCAGGCAAGCATATTTAGGAGTAGCAAAACTCTTGCTTCAAATTGGGGCTGAGAGAGCTTGCTTAGCCTTGGAAGGTGCACTGTGTGTCATAGGAGAATGTCAAAACTCAAACTGGAGTAGAAAGGATTGAGATGCCTCCTGTCTGCTATTTCTCTCACAAAAGTGTAATGAATAGAAATAACAGATATGGGTTAAAAAAAAAAAATCAAAACATCAAAAATAAAAAGACTTTAGCTGTGTGAGACCTCCAGGCTGGCTAGCAGTCTGTATGCTATTAGGGCTGTGCGAAACAGCAGCATTCCGTTTCAACATCCATTTCAAAGTTTCAATGGAACAGTGTTTTATTTCGAGTTTTGTTTCATTTCAAAAACATTGTTCTGTTCCATCGAAATGGTTTCTCTGTTTCAATGCTGTTTCGATGTTTCTATCCAGCTGGGGAAGGGAACTCACCCCGGCTCGGTTCCCCTCCCCAGTGCTGCGATCGGGCTGGGGTTCCCGATCGCAGGGCTGGGGTTCCCGATCGCAGCGCTGGGGAGGGGAACTGAGCTGGGCTGAGTTCCCTTTCCCAGCCCAATCACAGTGCTGGGGAGGGGAAGTGAGCCGGGCTGAGTTCCCTTTCCCTTCCCCAGCCCAATTGAAAACTTTCAAAAACTTTTGAAACATTTTGACTGTCCTCATTTCATTTCAAGGCTGTTTCGAAGTCCTTCATTTAATTTTGATTTCACTGTTTCGAGCTCGAAATGAGTCGAAACAGTGTTGAAATGAAACAGCTGGCAAAATTTCGCACAGCCCTATATGTCAAGAGGCAGGAGGCATGTAAGATTTCTAGAAAGTATTTCTAAGATGTAATACAGCAAAATCCTGTCTTGGATGGAAGTTCTGTCATGGATGTTGAATGTGAGCATTGAAATTGGCTGAATCTGAAAAAAAGTAAGAATTGGTATTGGAACATCTAAATGCTGTATCAGTTGGGAAAACATTTTAATTGAAAAAAAAATTGGAACACCTGGCTGTAAACAAAATGGGTATGGAAGAAGTGAGTTTTTTAGGCAAAGGATATTTCACAACTTCAGCAGGGCACATATTACTTTATTTGGGCAGAGAAGTAGATCAGTACTCAGAAATGGCCTTTTGGTTAATGATGGAATCTGTCAGAGTACTGGTTAAGTCCAGTGAATAATTGTCTGTTAGATGTGTTGTGATTCCATTGAACATAGTGAAGATCCAGGTTTATGATACACCCACAAAAGCTTTAGTACAAGAAACAGAAGAATTCTCTCAACGATTACAGGAGTGAATTGGTATGACTTCCAAAAATCATGTCTGTATAATTTGTGGTGCCAAAGTTGGGGAGAATGATTAAATTAAAGAGAACATGAGATCATTTTGAATTAGAATAGATGAATGAATTAGGTCAGTAGCTGCTAAACTTCTTTACTGAAAATAAGAAGTCATTACTAACACATTGTTTTCTCCTCTTAATGGTGGAAGAGCACATGGAAACCACCAGGCAAAAAATTAGATTGACCTTATGCTAGTGTTGAGTAGACTTAGAATATTGATCCTCAACTACAGAATTTATCCTTCTGCAATTTGTGATCAGTGTGCCAACTTTTCCCAGCTGTATTTGAGTCGAAACTGAAATAGTAGCAGGGACTCCTCACTCTGTAGAGGTTTGCTTTGATTTACTAACATAACAGTACGCTATTGATATCAATAACAGATTCCAATCATTGTCATTGTTTGTTCGAAAGGTCAGATTCTAACTTTGAATGGGATGATATCGAGACAATCTTGATTGAAGTAGTTGAGCATATCTTAGGACAGTGGTTCTCAAGAACCTGCTAGGGGTGTTGCAACACTAGTGCTGGCACCACTGTGGGATGAAACTGCCCCATGCACTTTGGTTTTCTGGGGACACATTGGCAGCAAACCAGGAAGTGACTGTAGCAGAAAGGCACACTTCTTTCTGCATTACATTATGCAGGAAGATACATCACTTCTGCTGCAGTTGCTTCCTGGTTTGGCTCCAACATGCTTCCTGAAAACTGAGGCTTGTCTGGCATTTTCACTCCACAGTGACAGCAGCCTGGAGATAGGTGCTGCTGTTGCCAGCACTGTGCCCACCAGGTAGAACTGCCCCACATTTCTTGGTTTTCAGTAGGCATGTCAAAGATAAACTGGGAAGCAGCTGCAGCAGAAGGACCTGCCTCATTGGGTTTATCTAATATCACTAATATCCCTAATTGGATTTATCTAATATCACGAATGCAGGCAAGAACACCTGCTCATGCCACAATCCTTCCAAGTCCAGTCCCACACATACTTTCTGGAAACCAAGGTGTGTGGGACAGTTCCACCTGGCAGCTCTGCTGACATCTGAGGTCTCTCTCTCTGGGCTGCCATGCTGCTTAAACCTCCAGGTAGAACTGCTCCATGAGCCTCAGTTTCCAGGAAGTACATGTGAGGATGGACTAGGAATAGCTGCTGCATAAGGGGGCCTGCCTGCCTGACTTAGGCTGCTTATCAGATAAAAACCTAAAGCAAGCACAGTCTGTGTATGAGGTGCACAAGATACCTTTACGTGATGTTGGCCATGGTGCCAGTGGCAGTGCCCCAGTTGAGAAGTATGGAGGTAAGCTGAGGCATCAAAACAGTAGTTTTCAATTGAGGGGGCCACCAAAATAAAAAAAAAATTGTGGAAGTGTCCCTTGACTCTAAGAAGGTTGAAAACTACTCCACTAGGAATAAGAACAGATCTCAAATTCAGTATTGAAACTGATTGAGGAAAACAGGGAGATAAGACGAGAGGATAGATCAAGGTTGAATTAATGCATTCAAAAGTGTGCCAGGAGAGATTGACAAGAGATTAATAAAGTATGCAGGACTTAGATGGCAACAATAAAGGTGATTCAAGAAAGTTGTCTGAGGCACTGACGTAACTGAATCTTCACACTGCAAACCAGTGTTATTAAACTGAAAATTGAGATCATAACTGGAAAAACAGAGATGATCGCAAGATGGGAAGAATACTGCAAAGGAACTGTAGGTGGATAAAGAACTGTTCAATTATATTGATTGGGCAGTTGAAAGAAAATCACTAGCATTAGAATCAGAAATAGCATTTAAAAAGAAAAGGGTCAAGTATAGAAAAGCTCCAGGTCCAGATGATGTATCAATAGAGCTTCTCAAGTTGGCTGGAGAAGCAGCAGTAGACATGATGCATTCAATCTGTACCATTATCTGGGAAAGTGAACAGCGGCCTGGTGATTGGCCAAGATTGCCATACATTTCAATACCAAATAAAGGAGAAGGCAGGGCAGGGTTACACTTTAGAGCAGTTGTTCTCAACCATCGGATGACTCAAATGTGGTTACTGAATGTGGTTACACGTTTTCCTTCTTTGCTTGATTTATCGGATAGACGTCTATTATCACTGTAAGTGTGGCTATTTAGCACAAACTCTAGGGACTTACGCTGGTAACTCTGGATGTCTTGAGTTTATTTCCTGGCATCAGCCAAGATGACAACTATGACGGTAACACTGTACTTTCAGAACTCTAATGAACACTTCTGTGTTCATATTCTTAGCCACAGTTCTCTTCTGTGCCTCTCACATATGCGCCTATTCCATGGAGGCCCAAAACTTCAGTTCATCCCCATCATGTGGACTTCCATTTTTAATCTGAATATAAGTGTAATCTTTCATGATCTAGTTCAGGGTCATGTGATCCTCTCTCTCTTTCAGTAGCTCAAATGACAGTAGAAGACATAGTAAAAAAAATCTGCCTCAGACAATGGTAGGTTGTTTTGTTAGCAGCCCATCCTCTTTGCTATTATTGCTGACCATGAAAAAACAAAACCCATCACTTTACTTTAAGCTTGTTGCACCCCTGTGCTGAGTGCAGCGAATGCCCAGAAGAGGCATCATGTTAGTTTGATTAGGCTTACCTAATGCCTGTATAGATCACATGCTTCAGCAGGGGGTTTTTTGGCATGTTTTTCTGATAGCTGATTGGCATATTTAGATAAAGCTAATCAAAAAGCTCCGCTGAAGCACCCAATCTATACAGACACTGGGGAGCTGTGTTGAATTAATGTGCTGCTTCTTCAGGTAAAGCACTGTTTTGGGGCAGTTTTTTTCATGTTTATCAACAGCCTATGTGCTACCACCTCCATTAACCCAAATACTCCATATACTGTGTACTATGGTAGGTAAACCTAGATTGGATTTTGACCTCTTCAATGGGTATTTCAACTTACAGTGATTTCATTTGGTACGTTAAATATCTTAATAACAATAACCATATGTAACCCTGGTCGGCCATGCTATGGGCGGCCTACTGCCAATTTTGGATTCCTGGGGTGCCAATGGCCTCGGTCTTTCTCCCAGTCCATCAAAGGAATGGTAGCAACTGAGCACCAGAATACCCTGAATTCCCATCCTCCAGTGCAAGACACGATTCAAACCAATTGTGACAGAAGGCAAACTCAAGACCAGATCACAAGTCAGCCCACCCACCTGTCTAGGGCAGTCTGCCCTAACTCACCTGCCATAACTTGAATGTTTATATGGTTTATTAAGTGGGAGACTGCCCTTACATTATCCTGATCAAGGGTGTGCTAGCCATGGCTCCGAACCTTCCCTATACCATGGCCCACGCCTCACAGATGGCATCCTGATTATATTTGCTCCTCAGTCTGAGGCCTGAGCAAATTTAGTCCATTGTTGGCCTCTTGCTTGCACACTCATTCAC